TCTGGGTATGTCCTCAGTTTGGCTCAAGTAAACTCATAAAATTGTCTACAGGTATGGACAGTCTCAGATCTATAGAGTCAATAAATTTATTAGATGTATAGAATAAAAGATAGTGGTAAAACCAAGGCAACAGGCCATTTCCTTGCCATGTGAAAGCCATTTATTTCAAAAACAATACAAGAGGCCCAAAATTAAGCTGCTTATGGAGCCCTTAACTTCCTTGTTCCTGCCCCTTCTGCCTAGAAAAGTCTCTCATTTTGCACAGCTCCTTGGAGCTCCTTCCTGTCTTCTAGATTGGGTTCTGCTTAATTGGTGAATTATTCAATCAGGACAATAGATTTTAAAAATTTGGTAAACAATACAACATACAGATGTATTGTAGAACTGTATATCTGAATCCTGTATAATTTTATTAACAATGTGATCCCAGTAAATTCAATAAAAATTAAATAGAAAGATAAACCTAAAACATTACTCAGTTGAATTTTGTTTTTTAACTGTAGTACACTCGTGTACATAATTATAAAAAAGCTGTTTCAAATATCATGCACTTCATATTATACTAAGTCAAGCTGATACAAGGTGTAAACCTCTCTGATAAAAATTGCAATGGTAACAAAGATGAACAGTAATCAGCAGGAGAGCCCAACATAGAAACTCTTCAATAAATTTAACATGTAATATGCCAACTGATGGGGCCAAAATCAGAAAATCTCCCTTCTCCCCTAAGTCAGGTCCTAAAGCCTTATGTGAACCCAGTGTCTTTATCTGCATGAACAAAGGGAATCCAAACAAACTGGCTTTGGTAATGTTCCCCAAACTGGTATATACTTATTTCATACTTCTAAGCATATCACATTCCTCAACAAGTGTCTGTAATGCTAAGGTTTACCTGTGTCTTTGGGCTTTTGTTTCCTTACAAAGATTCCTGTGTCACATAAAACTTACAATAAATAGATGTGTGCTTTTTTTTTTTTTTTTTGGCTAGTCTTTGCCACTTTTATTTTCACTCATAAGGAAGGTGCCCGTGGCTGGTTTCCCTTAACATCCTGAATCTTTGCAACTATTAGCTTTGGAGGTTAGCGAATGTCTTCGGAGAATTCTTAAAGTGCTCTGGTCATGCACGTAGACACTGACACCAGGCGCCTCAGGTTCCAGTCCCAGCTCAGCCACTTACTGGCTGTGGGTCTCTAGGGAAGGAACCTCAAAGTCCCCGTGACTTAATTTCCTTTGTGTAAAATGGAGGCAATGCTGAATATCTGGCACATGGGCACGAACAGAGTAGGAACGGTACGCCAGGAATGGAATGATACATGCAGCTCGGTTCTTCTCCTCAACACAGTAAAAAGTTACAGATCAGCGAGAAAGAAGTAGGCGAGTAAGAGATTAGCTGCGTGCAAGGGAGAAAACGGGCCATGGGCCATAGAAGCAGCAACAGGAAATCAGAGCAAAGGGACCTTAGTGTTTCCAAACAGCAAGCGGGGCCCTGCTCAGGCAGGAGGTGGAATAGGAAACCCTGAGACTGCGGCTGTCCTTGGTGAGCGTCCTGGTTTCAGAGAGTCGCCCTGTGACTAATAATTAGCCCTGTGGTTTTGTCGCAGAGTGGGCAGCCAAGGGTTGGGGGACTGTGGGAAAGTGCATGTAAAGCCTGTAGCCCATGAATAGAAGGGAGCCATCCTCTGGCCACGGACGGCCTGTTCGTATTTCTTGGGACGTGTACTTTCTTAAATAAATTTCCCACTTGCTTTGCTTTACACTATCTCTGCGGTCAGCCCAGTTCTTTGTTGACAGCCACCAAGAACCTGGACTCCATCTCCATCTGCAACTTGGCCAGTCCTTCCAAGCCCTGGGGTTTGCCTCTTCTTGGAGTCTTTCCCTTCCCAGACCCGTTGCCTTTCACCTGCCAGGCATTTCGAAGAGGCCAACGCCTCAAGAGCAAGTGCAGAAAATGTCCCAGAGTCCCACCCTTGGCCTCCACCAGCCATAGGCAGCTAGAGTCACCACTGGCTGACCCCAAACAGCAACTGGGGCCCTGCTAAATTCCGGAGGCAGAGGTTTGGGGAGAAAGGAAAGGAGTCTTTATTCAAAAGCTACACAATTTTGGAATAAGAGCTGTCCACATGCATTCGTCATTTAAGCCTATCAACTAAGGCTGAAATCTTTTTAAGTGCTAAATTCCAGTTTTAATTACTGAGGCCTATCCATTAAGGCTAAAGTCTTTAGCTCCTGCATTCTCCTATCATTCGCTCTGTTAGTTTTAATTATCTTTTCTCTATAGGGTTAGTTACAGACTAAAACAACGTAAGACACAGAAGCTGCCCAATGCTGGAAGGAGGGCAGGCGTCTGCCTCAGAGCCCGTCCCCTGCAGGACCCCCAAAGAGGAAACCCCTGCCCCCCTCGGCCAGGCCAGCCCCACCCTAGGCTGTGCCCGGAGTTCCTTCTGCCAGCCAAAATACCGTCCTGTGGGGCACGCAGGCAGCTGCGGCTCCATCACCCAGGCATCCTCGGGGAAGAGAACGAGAACAAGTCTCTCTGAGAGCCAGCCTCTGCCCTCCTTGCGTCTAAATCATCGGGCCTGTAGTTCCCTGCGCTCTGGAGGCGTCCCTCTTCTCAGCCAGTCTGTCCTAGACTGTTTATCACCGCCTCGGGCAGCCCCCTTCTGTGTGATCTGATCCGATCTCTCTGGATCATTAGGGACAAGATTAGGGGGTCGCCCCGGGACAAGCCGTCGCCGCCCACTGCCTTACCGTTTAGGAGACGCCTGTCGCCAGGGGAGAAGGGGGGGACGGCAGCAGGGGACACCGAGTGGCACGGCCTGCGCCCCACGAGGAGCGCGGATGGGCTGGGCCCTCCGTCCTGGGGCCTCTCTCTCTCTCTCTCTCTCTCTCTCTCTCTCTCTCTGTCTCTCGGGCGGGAATCGGAGGGGGCTCAGGGGGCTTCAGCAGGACCCCGGTCGGTCCGCTCTCCGGGCGCGCCCTGTCAGCGCCCCGGTCCCCCGCGACGGGTCAGTGGCAGGATGGGGAAGGGTCTTCGGGGTCAACTCGTTGTCCCTGCCCCGTGCCCCCGCCTGGTTTCTTCCATGAAACTGGACCCTGGTCCCAGAAAGGTTGGGGACCACTGGTTTAGAGCCCTTTAGAGGAGGAACAGGGGGCCAGAGACAAGCTTCCTGTAACTCCCATACAGGGACAGGAGACGCGGGACAGGCTCGGATAGGTCAGCTCTTTGGGCCGCCTGCTCGATTGTTTTGCTTTGTTTGCTGAATAAACTCGCAATTTGAGTTCCTGGCTCTGAATCTTTCGGAGCCTGAAGGACTGAGGCCTAACTCTGCCTCCCTAGAGGATTAAATGGAACGGTGCTCGGCTCATAGTGAGGGACAGGCAAGTATTATTCATATGGAGGTTTGGGAACAAAATATTGGTAAGTCCTTTAGCATCTTCTCGTCTGGGAAGCTCTTTATCTGCCTTTCCATTCTCAGTGATAGCCCTGCTGCGGACAGCAATCTAGCTTGTGGGTCCTTGCTTGTCATCACACCAAGATGGGCCTCGGTGATATGCAGATCGGTTTGAGCTAACCGCACCTTCAGCCAAAGCTCAGGAGGAAACTCTGCCTTCTTACTATTCTGCCTCATCACTGCTCTTAGTTCTTGAGATTTCTCCCCTCTCTGCAATGGCACCTCTGTCGTTCTTAGGTTTTCCCTCCCTTCAGGTTTTCCCTCCGAACTGCATCTTGGGAGCCCACTGGGATGGGGTGAGAAAGGGAGGCATGGGGGTTGTACAGGAAGGTATTGCCTGATTCTGCATGTTTTAAATGTCGTTATTTTCTTTAAAAATTTTTTTAATTGTTCAGCTACAGCCGTCTCCGTTCCCCCCCATGAGTGTCCCCTGCCCGCCCCGCCCCCACCTCCCACATTCCATCCCCCGCACCCCCTGCCGTTGTCCTGGTCCGCGGGCCCTTTATACCTGCTCTTGACTCGCCCCTTCCCCTTAAGGCCCCCCTTCTCCCCTCCCCTGCCCCTCTGGGCACTATCAGTTTGTTCTTTATTTCCATGTCTCTGGTTCTATTGAATGTGGTTCTTTTCTCTTGCTATTCTGTCTTATGTCGATTTGATTGTCAGACCAGCCAGAAGAACCTTGACAGTGGAGAAAAGTTTGTTCCTCTCCGACAGAGAAAAACAACCCCAGACTGGTTATTTACCTGTTTATTGGCTAACGCTTATTACAGGACTTCCTGAACTGGCTCTTTCGGGATTCCCTTCCCCTTGTGTTTTGAAAACACTTTCTGATAACGTGCCTACCGGGATGCCTTGGCCTTGTGTTCTCCCCCCGGACACCCCATCCTCAGTCGCCCTTCCTGCCTCCACTGCAAACCCTTCTCTAGCTTGTGAACAATTCATAACTGCTCAGTTTTTGAAGGACCAACGGAGGCCATACCAGAGACTTTATTACTACACTCAGGAGATAAGCTCTTCACTGGAATAAGAAACCTAAGTAGTTAAGCAGTTAATCACTTAAGTGTTTAAATTCCTCATTCTAGGACAGAATGTTGGCTTTGCACTGACAGAAGTGGGAAGCTATTAAAATGTTTATCCCAAAACAGCAAAGGAAGTTTTTCTAATCATCCACCATAACCCCCATCAAAATAAGGAAACTGAGTAGTTATAAATTCAAGTAGGTCCCCCTTCTAGAAAAGCTACCAATGTTTAAATAGCAGTTGCTCTCACTACACTTTTAAATGTGTGTCACCTTAACAAAGGTGTAACCTCCCGTGTCAGAAAATGTTTCTGAGCCCTGGCTTTAAAGCTACACAGAAATGGGTTAGAATTTTGGGGTCAACTTAGGCAAAATACTTGAACTGTCTTTTTTCTCACTGGATTGTTTATTGACCACCGTGGGTTGGTGGTAGCAAGGGGGCAGCTGGTGTCTGTCACCTGTGTAGTCAGGGTTCGTGATCGTCGGGGATGTGCTCGCAGAATACAGCCAGCCGACCCTTCTCGTCCTGCTCAGCGTGTCCGCCTGTGGTGGAAAAGGGCGGCTGTCAGGAGGGAGTAGCAGGTGTGGTACAGACACATCACCGAGTCACACACTGGGAAATCTAGATGGCTGGTAGCCAGGTCCCCTCTGTCGCGGGGACTGGCAGGAACCCTGGGGGCAAGTGGGACGCTCCTGGATGTGCCCTCCCCACTGGGGCCCCCGGCTCTCGTGGCTGAGTGTCCCCGGGGCCCTCTGGTAGGGGGTACCTGCCTCTTCTTGCTCTTTGGAGTGCTCGCAGGGGCGGTAGTCATCCATTTGTATTTTCTCTTAATGTTCTTCATCAGCGAAGGCTTGTTTCTTTGAAAGTTAGGGTTGCGGTAGATCATCAACCTTCTGGTTCCTGAGTAACAGAGTGATGGCTTGCTTGGGCGAATTTTGCAGAATCCGTAGAGATTTATCAGGCGGATGAAACTCTTCAGGCTGTCGAATTCGAAGATCTTCTCCGCGCCCCTGAGGTCAAGAATCTGTCTCTGGAAAAGATCGTGCTCGATGATCACAGTGTCTCCCTTGTCACTCCAGCGCACGGATGTGAAGGCCTCATCCTCCACTATCCTCCAAAGCTTCGTTGGGAAGGGCAGCCCGTAAAGAATGTTGCTTCCTTCAGTGTCGGTGGCGTCTCCATTGGGGTCTTCTGGCTGCGGGTTGTCTTGTGGGCTCGGATCTTGGCTCGGGGCCTGGTCCGCGTCCTTCTCGCAAGCCTCTCGTGGACCCTCAGCGAAATCTGGGGAGTCGTCGGCTTGGATGGCTGGTGGTGCTGCGCTACCATCCTCTGATGCGGCCGGCTTCGCTCTGTCCATCTCGTCGATGTTTGGACTAGCCATGGATCTGCTCTAGAACTAAAAGCATTTGCCACACAGGATCTTACCACTGAACACTAGAGTCAGAAATGCCTTTGTTCACAGCAGACACCCAACATTCACTGCCCTCAAAATTCTAGAGTCTTGGTTGGGAGGCAACCAGCAGCTGAAGTCACAATGCTCCCTATAGGTCATGCGATGTCACAAAGGCGGCTCACAGCTGGTCTGGAGAGTGGGCCCTGGCCAAGTGTGGTGGAGTGGGTGGGTGTAGGGTCCCCAGCCTCTCTCTTTTCAGGAAGTACAGAAAAGCAGGGTTCAGGGGGCCAGAAAGGGCCCCCCTCTGCTGCCGGACCCAGCGGTTCACACGGTCAGGATCCAGCCCCCTGCCACCCCTTCGGTTGGCGATGAGGAGAGACTGCTGATGGCCTCCTGCACCGCTCAAGGGTGAGACTCCAGGTATTCCTAGCTCACAGGGGCCCCTGGCAGCTGTCCCTCCCAGACGATAGTGGTGGGCCCAGCCTCAGTTGGCAGTCCCCTCACGTCGCCCGTCCCCCCTCCGCCCCCCGCCCCCCCACCCCCCGGCTTCCTGCTTTGGTCTCTTCCAGCTGTTCCTGCCGGTTGCTTGGGCCTGCTCAGATGGGCCCAAACTAAGTCCGATTTTCTTACCCTGGGTCCAGTTGTCCCTAGCGTAGGGCTGTGCTAAAATACTTACACTTTGTGATACTTCATCTGTAAAATGTGGTTACTAATGTCACCTACTGCATAGAGTTGTTCTGGGGTTACAAAGATAAATAATATAAATGAAGCCTGTATCACATTATCTGGAACATAGCAAATGCTCAACAAATGTCAAATATTTCTAAGTTATTGTAAGAGAGTCCAGAAAAGATAGCCAAACTTGCTTCTTATATTTTGCACTCTCCCTGAGCTAAACTTTCCTCTGGAGCCATAATGAGTTTCTGATGCCAAGAATAGCCAATGAGATTCAGGGTGAGTATAAAAAGTTGTGTTTTTCATATCTTATTTTAAAATAAGAAAAAATGCCAATGAAAGAGTTTCGTCTCCTTTTTAATAAGGCAAAACAAAGTAAGTCATACAAATCACCTCATTTCCTTATTTTAAGTCACTTCTTCCTTTTTCAAAAAAGCATTTTTTTCAAAGATTTTTTATGTATTTATTTTTAGAGAGAGGGAAAGGGAGGGAGAAAGAGACAGAGACAGACATCCCTGTGTGGTTGCCTCTCATGCGCCCCCCCACTGGGGACCTGGCCCACAGCCCAGGCCTGTGTCCTGACTGGGAATCGAACTGGTGACCCTTTGGTTCATTCGCAGTCCAGCACTCAATTCACTGAGCGACACCAGCTAGGGCTCACTTCTTCCTTTTAATGATATAATCCTGAAATTCCCTTGACTACCCTAACATTTTGTGGTTCCTTTGGTATGACTGTTAAAATTGTTTTCAGAGCTAGATATACCCAGATAAGAAGAGTACTAATAAAGGTTATTTATCCTTTAGAATATGATTATACAATTTAGTGGTTGGCCAAAGCCCTCTTATTGATTCTAGATATCAATGATTTCTTTGAGGATATTCTCAAATCTTTCTTTTATTGTTTTCATAGTTAGAGTAATATTAGGTATAATCTCTTTGCTGAACTAGAAAGAAAAACAGGACCACTTTATACTTTAAAAATTGCTCGCAGTCTGTGATCTGGTATTTCAGGTAAATACATTTCATGGTATTGTGTTTTCCATTTTTACATTAGTTTTTTGGATTCTCTATTAAAGAATTCTTGGCCTCAAAGTGCTTGAACACATGCCTCCTCTTGGTGAAGCCTGTCCTCTTGCTTTACTGCCTGCGTTTTTTTTTGTTGTTTTTTGTTTTTTTGTTTTTTTTTTTTGCGGGGGGGACCTTTAGTGCAAAATAATCTGCAATCAAGACATTGTGGGCTATGAGAAACTTTTGCCTGACTGTAACTATATAGAATTTAAATTAGGGGCCAGGTCCAGGATGAGCTACTGCCAGAAGTAACTTCTTTCCCCCTACAGAGCAGGGCAAACTGATTATTACTGAACATGTGGTCTCCCTGCATCCTTACTTCATCCCTAGCTCATGTGTTCGTGTCTTTCAACCTCTCATGTATAAGAGTCTTTAGTTTCTCTTGCTAATATATTTTATGTTTATTTAATTATTAGACCACAGAAATGCACCTTTCCCATTCTCCCCAGACTCCCAAAAATATAGCAGATATTCACTCATAAGATTATTTCCTATATTTCCAGAAAACTTACACACACACACAAATTTGTGTTACATTAGGAACAAATTATGCAGTTCTTTGTTAGAAGTGATCATTACATCTTGTTTCCAGACTTTAAATTTATGTCTTTGATCTAATCTAAGAAAATAATAACTTTTAAGTACTTTTTAAATTATGGCAGATCCATATAGTTCCTTCATCAGTTCTGCCAGGCTATACCAACGGGCCACATCTTTACTGGAGGACTAATGTTTCTGCTGATGCAGAAAAAAACTGTATTAGTAAAAGGACTGACTTTCCTTAACAATTACATCTGGTGGTTTGAGGCCTTTACAAACACCCGCACATCCTCGGCAGCAGGAAGTGACCCCAAAGCTTTGGGCTACCGTGTCCCCGCTTTCCTGAGACGCGCCCCACTTCACGTGTCCCATTCCTTTTGTCACTTTTACCTCCAACATATTTTCAACGTAGTGTGTGAAGTGTTACATTGTTTTCTACATCTCATATTCTCAAATGCATTTGACTTAGGGATAATAATTTTAAAATGAAACATAGGGAAGTGTTCATAGCAGTATGCTCTTTGAGTCCCAAATGAAGAGATATATTAATTTAACCACACAAATTAAATACTGCTGTATCAATAGATAAGAAAGGTGAATGAATATGAACAAGAATTGTATTAGGCAAAATGTAAACAAAAATAGTTTACTCAGTATATATAGCTGCCAAAAGCAGAACGATGAATAATCGAATTACACACTATGTTGATAATATGTTAGAGGGGGGAAAAATCTACTGAAGAAAATGATACTGTATTTCTAAAATTTTCAGTGAGTTCTACTTTATAACATACTCTATCAGAAATCTTCAATATTATTTGAAATTTCAATGTAGTATATATTTTGTGGTCTAAAACAAAATGGGCAAATTCATGCCAAAGGTAAAAAAAATGGGAATAGCCCATTTGAAAAAGAAAACAGTAAGGTGCATTTGGTGTGGAAGCATTTTAGAAAAGAAGTGAGTGTTTCTGATGATTTATTTTATTGCTAACTATAACAGAAGTGACTTAATTTTAATCATTTTAAATGTTTGATTCACATGAGATTCAACCTTGGGGCAGTCATTTTGGAATCCATCATTAGCTACTCTGAAAATAATATTAAGATCCTTCACTACCTTTAGTATTTCTAAAAAGCTGGTACTAAAACAATTAAAGTCACACACATGTTCACAAATCATATTATTGATAAAATGATTGCCATTTGGTGCCTATAACAGATAAGTAATAATAAATTACTGCTTAGTGAGAGTTTACTATGTGCCGGGTACTGTGCAAATTGCTTGACATGGATTACTGACTTCAGTTTTATATAACTTGCCCAAGGTCACATGCTTAGTAGGTGACAGGTCCAAGCTTTGAACTCCAGTTGGTGCAACCCTAAAGCACGTGTTCTGCTACATAAACAATGGCTACCTGGATAATTTAACTCCAATGCTTTCTACTCTTATTCATGTGAGTAATGGACAACGGTTCATGGTATACTTTCAAAGAAAGATGTAAAAACAGAGGGAGAAAGTGCTTTTTCAAAAGGAGGAAGGATCAATACATTAGGAGGAAAGAGAATAACATTTGAAATGTGGTGTGTGAATCTTGTATCAACGGAGACTAAGGACATTTGACAATTTCTGCAACACTTTACCGCTTTGCCTCTAGCTACTGTCAAACGAGTTCTTAATACGGTCAGATGAAATTCAGCAATTTCTGTTACGCAGCCCCTTTACTGAGTGACTAGAAATATGGGAAAAGATGAATTGTATATTCACATAGCAAAAATCACATATTAAAATGTTACATTTGGACAAGAAAGCATCAAAAGCCACAAACAAAGACATTAAAGTTGGTGTCCAATGCAGACATTCAGTAGCAGAAGGAAGACCATTTAATGATAATTTCGGAGAAGCTTAGTAGAACAGAGTCTCCGGTATGGCTCACTTTCCTCCCGCCCCTTTTATCGGCTCAGATGCGTCTGTCTCTTGGTGTAAAGTCAGGGGAACACTGAATTTAGTTGCAAATTCACAGTATCATCCCTAACCCCTAAGAATGAAATTAAATATGTAAATAGCTTAAGACATAGAACTTGAACTTGCTGAGTTTTAAAGCTGGTTTCCCCATCTTATCTCCCCAACAGTTTTGTTGTTGTTATTAGGTTTATTCTAAATATCCTTCAGTAAAATTAGAGCTTCATTTAAAATGCCTCTTGTTTTCTTCGTATTTCTGTAACTTTTCATTCCTTTTCCAGTGTCAGCAGCTTTGGGAATGAGACAGCATCAGGCGTAAAAGTTGAGGGAGTAGGTTCCGAATGTGGCCTTCGGTGTAGAACTAATCGCACTATTAGAACTCATGTAGCTGTTCTGGAATTGGTATCAAGGTGCTCCTGTTGGTTTGCTCAGAGCCTCTGCTAACAACCCGCCCTCACACGGGAGCTCTGTGACACTGACTCCATAGGAGGTCTTTTGTCAACACTTGGTCTTTTGCAAGTCTGGACACTCCCAGCTTGCCAGACCTCCCCCTGCTCTTGCAAACAGACTGCAGAGCAAGGCCTCGGACCCTGTAGACAAAGACAGCGCCCCATGAGAGAAAAATAACTGTCTACCATTTACTTGCAGAGTTCCTTATTACGGCCGCTGAGATTTGGGTATAAATCCTAACTAATACAGAGTGCACTTTCCTCAGCATCAC